GATTTTCCATTTTAATATTTTTCCTACATTCGAGCCGCCTTTACGAGGAGTTTAAATCATAACGGGGGGAGGGGAGGAGGAGGCGCTCCGTGCGGCCGAGGTTCCGACATTTTGTATATTTCGACAGCCCTTGGATATTGGCTCTTATAAGAATGTGGATTCTATCTTTCTTTTTATCTTTTTTTTTTTTTTGTGAGCGAGATAGATGTTGCTTCCTATTCCTGATTTTTTTTTTTTTAGAGAAGTTTCTTCGAAGGCGATTCAATCACGAATAATTCGATAAGTATTTTTATTATTATAGGATGAGAATGGTATGTATTTGTAAATGAAATTTTCTTTTTTTTTCTTCGTTTGATAAATATTAATTATTTGTCTTAGAAACTTTTATCCTTATTTCATTAATAATTATTCATTAGAAGAGAGAATTTTTTATTGTGAAAAAGGATATTATCGCGATGAGAAAGGATAAGGTATAAGAAAGAAAGGAATTGAAAATGGATCATCTTCAAGAATAATAAAATGAGAAATATGTACTGTATCGAAAACATCCTGCTTCAAATTTCTTTGAATCCTGCTTATACAATAATAAATGTGTAAATATCAAATAAACGAAGAATATTATAATGGTCCAGTTTTTGAATTAAATTAAACGCGATTGAAATGGGTCACCCGGTATACTTTCCACAAAAATAAACAAAGAATATATCAAAAACGTCCTGCTTCAGATTTTGAATCCTAGTTACACAATAATAAACGTACAAGTATCGAATAAACGAAGAATATTATTCTGTTCCAAATAAGTCAGTATTATCCATCTTAATTAAACTGCATTCGTTTGAAATGGATCACCCGGTATAATTATTCGCAATAATAATAAATTTCCACAAAAATAAACGAAGAATACTGTTCCAATTTCTAAATGAAATTAAGTGCGATTGAAATGGTTCACCCGGTATACTTTCCATTTTAATTACGTTGCATTCGTTTGAAATGGATTACCCAATATAGTTATTCACAATAATAATACTTTCCATAAAAATAAAAAGAATACTATACTGTTCCAGTTTCTAAATGAAATTAAGTGCGATTGAAATGGGTCACCCAGTATACTTTCTATCCTAATTACGCTGCATTCGTTTGAAATGTATCACCCAGTTATTCGCAATAATAATACTTTCCACAAAAATAAACGAAGAATACTATACTGTTCCAGTTTCTAAATGAAATTAAGTGCGATTGAAATGGTTCACCCGGTATACTTTCCATCTTAATTACACTGCATTCGTTTGAAATGGATCACCCAGTATAATTATTCGCAATAATAAACATAATAAATGTC